TGTGGTTTTTTCTTCTTCTTTTCTTCTTAGTTTTCCTTGCTTGGGAGAGAATTTGCCGCCTTGTGCCCACCCCCCCCCCCTCCCACTGCCAGAGCATCCCGAGTCCACCACATTTCCGAAATTAAATAAAGATGTATGTATGGATGTTGCAAGTAAATAAACAAACTGTGGTAAAATTTGAATATCTTCAATATTACCTCTTTTCGTGAAAAAACAAACAAAGGGAAATACAAATTATGTCCAGGATAATTGTTTTTAGGAATATACAGGACTTTATTTAATGTAAAATAATAACCATATTACACACAATAACATATTGCATAGTTCTGTTTGAAAATATACAATCATTTGTAAAAAATAACTAATTGATGATCGTTTGTTTTTACACTATATAAAACTTTGATATTCAAGTAGGTACAGCATGACTCATCGGACAAGTTGGATATGCACATAAAGAAAATGATACCCTGAACTTATGAAGTACACATATAAACACATCACCTGTTTGTAAATGAATTGATAATAATAAATATACAAGGATTACAAGCACTTTTATGAACATCTACAATTTTAATAAACGATTGAATGAGAGATAATGAAAAAGTGATACCATGTTTTAAAGGCAAAGTGCACGTTTTGAGTTTGATAAAAACTGACTTATTATCTTTCTCCGCCATTCTAGAACAGTCTATGAACAATTGTGATTGCATCAATATTTAATACGATAGCAACTACTTATGAAATATTAACCTGAGGCATTTTCAATAGCCTTGTGCGTCACCTTTTGAAATGTACGAACATGATGATGACGTATTAAGAATAAAGCTGAACATGATTTCCATCGGACAAACAATAGGGTTTTGTAATTGTTTTTGGGTTGATTTTTCGAAAATAGTTGCGGTCGTGTTATTTATAGAATTGAATCTGAGTTTCCATTTGTGACTCACGCTGTACATATGTAAATTCATTTGTTAGATATTGATGCATGGAAATCTATTGCAACTCTAATTAGATATGTATAGAAAAATGACATGAAACTATGAATTATGGACACGGAATAAACTCATCACATGTTTGTCATAAAACTAATCTGTAAATATATAGGCCTATAGAAACTAACTATAACAATACTCTCTCAAACTAAAATAATAACCTTTAAAACTAAATAATAATCTGACTAAAACTAACATATCTTCTTTCTACACCATTTTAGAATAATCTATGTGGTATTCTGTCACAAGATATAATGACATTTACAATACTATGTGAACAAGGCACTGTACCGATCATTTGCTTTCACAGTCAAATAAATGTTAATTTCCAAATATGTCTACATGTGAACGTTATTAGGTAGGCTCTGTTGATAGTTGTAAATCTGCCGCAATGCTCACTGTATAGGTACGTTTATATTATGTAGATAATCAAAATAGAAGCAATCTTAGAAGACTCCTTGTAAACTTAAGTATAAATTCTGATAAAATAATATTACCCCTCTCTCAAGTCTATGTACAATTCAGTCACAAGCTGCCAAGAACATTAAAAGTATTCTGAGAACGATACTAAATTTATGAAAATAATCCAGTTTTTTTCACACCATAATAAACTTCGACTTCCATAGAAATATGTACTCTGAACACGAATGGTATATGTACAGGTTAGAAGGGTATGAAAACGAATAAAATTCATGTTAAGAATTTGCATACATCTTACATAAATTAATAAGATTCATGTATATAACAGTAGCAATTAAGTATATTAAGAATATGAGATAATGTATGAATACTAGACAAAACAAGATCGCAACTACTTTCGAGAAATCAACTTTTTTGTTGCATTTGAAAGATAATACTAATTTAGAACTTCCCTAACAAAGGTGGGACTTGAAAATGTCTTCAAGTGGGAAAATAACGACTATTAGATGTCAAATCGACTTTAGGGCTATAGAGCCCAAAAGTAATAGTCTTGATTGTCAGACAATTGTACCGAATGGTCATACGTTTTATGCTGCGCAAAGATTCAATCAGTTTAATCTTGGCCATCACAAGAAGTGGGTTATTGATGTAGACAAATGCTCATGTACCCTTTACAACTCTTTTCATGTATGTTACTACCATTTAGAAAAAAAGCCAGTAAGTCACTCAATAGTGTCTGACAGTGAAGTCTAGCAAGTAAACGGTTTTCCTTGCATAATTTGAATATGAGGACACTGCTAACGTTTAAATTTCACAGATAGGACATACATGACATATTCATAATTCCTGCAAAGTTCTACAGAATTTGAGGTTGGCTGCAAAAGGGACATAGTAACTTTAAATAACGTAATGCAGAATAATTGAATATTACATTAACAAATATATTTCCAGACATTAACAGATTACTTTTAAACACCCAAGCAAAACACACATATATGAAATTATAATTTTACAATAAACAGTATCTGTGAACGCAGGAGACCGCCAACTTCAGACAATTTGTGCGATATGTAATCCGAACACAAATTTCAATAACATATACAATAGAAATTGCCCTTGAGTTGAATCTTCGAAAGTAGATCGTTTTACAACTTTGTCAAGTAAATTTGTAAATAAATGAAATAAAGCAGTCAATTATTATTTGTTGGTACTCCAATTATTCCTGTTTTCTCCACAGACTTTTGTACAAGTCTTTCAAAGTCTTTCCCGATATACGTTAATTGGCTCAGTAGTTGCTCCCAAGTTACAGAGTAATCATACTTGTTCAATTCTAAGAGGTTCTCAGCACTTTTGAGATCAATTCAATTCAATTCATTTTATTCCATTCATCATATAAAAAACATACATAATTATAACATTGATATTTACAGATAAGTAAAGAACATACAAATAACATAACAAAAGATAAACATAAAATACAAATATATAAGCGAATGAGGAACCAGCAAGAAAGAACAATTAAGTCTTATTTAGGGCTGGTCCCTTGTGACATAAAAATAATTTTAACCTATAACACTTAACACTTTACAGCTAACACCTAATAACTAACACCTAACATCTAACACCTGATTGCATATATATATATATATATGATAAAATACTATTCACAAAAACTTAATTTTTTGTATCTCCTTTTAAATGTATTCAGAGTTGGGCTTGATTTAACACTAGAAGGTAACTCATTCCATAAAATTGGTCCTTTAAAGAAAATTGAATTTTTAGAGACAGAAGTTTTAATAAGTGGTAAATGAAAATGAAATGATTGCCTAGTTCCATATGAATGTATTTCAGAATTCAAAATAAATTTGTTTGAAAGACTAGGAGGGATAATACCTTATGACATAAAAACATAAATATAACAATATTTTAGTCATTCAATTCAAATACATTAAAACATTTAAAACGGACAAAAATAGGATTTGTATGGGCAAGATAATGGGATCCTGAGATAATACGTATTGCCTTCTTTTGTAATTTATATAGTCTATTCATACAATAATCTTTTGAATTTGCCCAAACAATATTGCAATAATTTAATTGTGATAAAACCAATGCATTGTATATCATTAATAAAATCTTATAAGGGAAATGTTTTAATTTGTATAAAATACCAACTACTTTCAAGATTTTATTACAGATTGCTTCAATATGAACGTGCCATGACATTTTATTAGGGTGATCACACTGCCTGTGCAAACAGTCTGCCCCGCGAACACACACACACAACAGCATTCAGTTGGTAGCAATAGCAATTTTTGTAAATGTATTTAAAAAAAAACTAAACAATATTTTTGAATTTTTATTTCACATATATTTCAAGCATACCTTTAACTACAATTCTGTGTAGTTTCATTGTTATAGGCATGTGGGAAATATGTTAATTATTGAATTAGAATATTGTCTTTTCAGCCATGTGTGACATGGCCCGCTAATCGCCCGTTGACTCGCGCTGCTATTCTGCGTGGTGAAAAAAATGCACCTCAATGTATAAAACTCCCCTACAAAAATGCAATATCCTCATGTGTTTCACTAATTGAATTAATTTGTTATTTACACTCAAGGTAGCCACTGTACTGGGGTCACTAAAGTTTCTTTCACTCTGAAATTCAGTCCTTGTGGAATGTTATGGCCAAAAGGGTTACCATCATGCCCAAAGATTGAATGGTATCTCGGAAAATCGTCATAAATCCTCAAATCTGACATCTTTGAAAAAAAAAGATATACTGTTATGTAGCTGAAACTCTACAAATTCTTATCATATGATCAGTTTTTCTGAATTATTTGTGAAAAACATCAGGAAATAGCTGTGACGGTGATCCAAGTAATTTCCATCGCCATATTGTATTGGCATTGCAAAAATATTAGGAATTTAAGGTCAATATATTTGGTGTAAATATGATCTATGAAAATATGATTTAAAAAATGCCCCAAAAATGAACAGTTTGACTTCCTAATTTGCATAATGAGTGCGCGAATATAGAATTAGCTAAAATGACCTAATTTGCATATTTGATGAATATTCTTTTGATGAAATTTGATGAATATTCATTTTATTACAAATGATATATATTTCCATACCTGTCTGATATACATAGGTTTCACTGATGTATCATGTTCGGTTTTGACTTGATTACATATGCGCATATTAATTAGGCGGACTTAGTTATTTTCACAACTTTTTTATATCTGCAGATTCGCAAAAATGGCAAAAATGGCAAAAATGACTTATTTTGTTGGCTTCTGTTTTCAAAACGGTAATAGATATATGAATTTTTATTTTTTGTATTTTTTACCACAAGGATGATATTTTAGTGTCTGACAATTTAATTTATTACTTGTGTCCAAGAAAGTGATGAATTAAGTTGTCAACTTTGTCGAATTATGCCATTTTTGACAATTTGACCATTTCTGGCAGGTTTTTCGGTAATTTTGCGATATCAAAAAAATTGTATAAAATCACAACGCATTGACCGATTTCAATTCTGTTTTTTTGTTTTTTGAAGCTTTCATAAAGCTTGATCATTTGCAACCATCAAATAACATGTGTTTGTTGTAATTATTTTTGGTGTGCTATACCTAATTTTATAATCAATTTGAATTCCTAAAAATGTCAATGAGTTACAACGCTGTACAACATTTCCATTAATCTTTACTTCAATATCATCAGTTGTAATGTTTTTGTTTGTAAAAATTATATAATTAGTTTTCTTTACATTTAAGATTAATTTATTAATATACAACCATTGAGAAATGTTTTGAAGCTCATCATTAAATCGTATCACTAGTCTATCTAAATCGTTATCAGACAAAAATAAACTGGAATCATCGGCATACAATATACATGAAGCCTGAGTAATATCATTCATATATACAAGAAATAATAAGGGTCCCAATATCGAGCCTTGAGGTACTCCACATCCTATGGTTTTAAAATCAGATTTAATTTTATTAAAAAGAACATTTTGTTTTTGGCTTGTTAAATAGCTTTCAAACCATTTTAACAAAACACCTCGTATTCCATAATTGAACAATTTATCTAAGAGAATTTTATGATCCAACGTATCAAATGCCTTACTAAGATCGAGAAATATTCCTAACATAATTTGTTTATTATCTAAGGCATTTGAAACTTTATAAACAAAATCAATTAGTGCAGAGGATGTGGAGTGACCAGCTCTAAAACCATATTGACTTTCCGACTATCGCAAAACAGGTTGAAATGATCTATACAGAGTCGTCCTGAATTTTTTTGATCTGCTTCTCTGCATGTAGAAGGACATAAAGGTAACTTACTAAATATTATCTTTATAAGAAGCCATAGTGACCAAAACAAAATCAAAATGCGTTGAAATCTAAAACAATTTTTACAAGGATTATAGTTCATGTTTGTTTCCTAATTTGAAATTAGTGATATTTTGAGGAGTTGTATAATTTAGAAAGTTAGATTAGGAAAAATGCTTAGTTGTTTCCTACAGTAGACAGCTTACATACTAAATACAATACCACAAGTTGAATAAGTTAATCACTTTGCTAGTAGTGATTTCTCCAAGAAAGGCTTTAACGGAAATGTTTATCATAAAAGCGAATACCATAGCATATTGAGAGAGAGATAGTTGTGAGACGCGCACGCTTTTGCAAGCAAGGTTCAAGTGATGGGACGCTATAGTAGTTCCCTTTCATATTATTGTATGTGGGAGGGAACAATTTGGAGCTCCATGAATTGAGCTTTGATCTAGTACATGTGCGCGTGTCACACTTATCTCTCAATACGCTATGGCGATTACTATTGCGCATGCACTGATCCTATTTATTGCGCTTAAATTTTTGAGGGGATAAAAATCAAAACTATCTTCTTCTTTTTTCATACCAAACCTAGACTTTACTGCATAAAATTATGCATTCAAAGTTTTATTACATTTTAGTTTATTATTAGCGGTCACCCCAAAATCGGAGGGGGTGTCCAAGAAAGCGGTCCTTTTATAGAAAAATAGTATTTTTAAATAATACTGTTAGAAAATCTTGAACCACCCTGAGTTTGGTTTCATATAAAAATATCAATAAAATATTTGTATTTTTATACCTTTTTCGAGGCAATTAGAAATAGATGGCATGACAATGTTTTTTAATGATTTGGGGATGATTTTCTTTCACAAAATTGAATTATAACATTATTTTCCATATATCAAATATTAGGGAGGGATTCTTTGTTTGAAACGTTCCAGGAATGTACTAGAACAATATATTGTGCAAAGGAGAGGCTTATATCTCTTTTCGGTGAAAATTCATAGCAACCCAAGGTTATTGATTTGATTTCCACAAAAACGAAATATGTGTGTTAACTGTATGGATATATGTGTAATGTGTGTTTAAAAGGTTTTTAAAGATAAATTTTAAGTCAAACCTTAAATCACCATGGAGTTGATGTCATATGATCGATAATCAAAATACCTTTAAGTTGACATCAATTCCATAGAGTTAATTATGGCAGTTTGTTGAATATAAATTTTGAGCCAAAAACATTTTATCTTTTAAATTTTGTTTTGATATCCCCCTCCCCCAATAAATTTGGCCAGAATCTCAGTATTTTAACTCTATGATAGTAATTGGACATTTACTTATTATAGTTATTATTATAGTAGTGTTTTGGTTGTATGCGTATCTCCTCCGTCGCAGAACATAATGCTCAATGTATGCGTTAATGAGTTTGTGTGTGTGTGTTGACCACATTCCCTCCCCCCCCCCCCCCACATGGCTTACTTTTTATTGATGTTCATTACAGTAACCAAATTAAAGTCTCCAATTCAGCTTCTCTCAGAACTTCATGTAAGTCAGCCACACTACGAGGTGATCTTATCCTCCATTTTGCAATGCATTCACTCGTTGCCCTCTCACAGTTGTTGAGACACTCTACAAGAATGTTCTTGGCCTGGGTTCGCGTGATTCCAAGCTTTTCACTGAATGTGAGGTAGTCATTGATTGGTATTTCTTTTGCCAACCTATTTAGCATTTTGTCGCTCACTGCCCTGGTTTGATATAAAAACAAAATATATATGTTAATAAATAAATAGTGTAACGTTATAAGACCTACGTTTTGTGATGGTACTGCGTGTTACCACATTTAGTTTCGATGCAGTTATTTTTGTTATTATTATAGGATCCCGTGACCAGGTTAATGATACTTTAAGGTATGTGAAGTTGAATCTAGTAGGGAGCTACAAGAAACATTTATAATTTATTGTCACCCATATCATCCATATATTACTTCAGCATTTTTGGAGATGGACAAGGCTCAAGTTGTTCATACTGGTAAATTTACAATGTATAACGACAATGTGTTTACACATTCTAAAAGAGTACAGGGCACTTGGGAGGGGAACTTGCAAGATACGGGTTTAAATAATCGCACCTTTAAAAATTAATGACTTTTTTTATTCTTTATCGATTTTTGCTCAAACTTTCAACGTTTCTATAAAAACCAACTAGATATCAGGGTGGACTTCCCCTTTAACCCTAAATGGGCCGGGGGAAGAATCCCCCCCCCCTGGACACGCTACGGTACGTTTGATTTTTTTCTTCTTCGAACAGGTACCAGCCACAAAACATAGGGGAGGGGGGGGGGGGGGAGGTGGGTTGAATCCAAACTCCCAGCCCCCCTCCCCCCTTACAATCGGAGTATTAATTCATTACCTATATTCTTGAACATATCAAATCCTTCCTTGAACAACTTCGTTTCTCTCTTTGAATATTAGATGCCTTTTAAAGCATCAGTTTGTTTTCGCGAGGGAAACCTTAATCTAATTTAGGGGTGTGTTCAATTGATTTTTTTTAAAGCTAGAATCACTAACATGAATCACAAATCAAAACGCTGTTACAAAAAACAAGGTCACTGCGGTTTGCGTTCAAGTGATTTTTCATCAACGCTGATCCTAGCTCATTTCGAGCCCAGCCACTGCGCATCACACTGCGCAGTTTGACCCAGGAAGTATAGGTCAACCTTGGCGCGCGCTTTCTGGAATTGTTTTACGGCCGACTGTCTTGACTGTATTGAGCATAGATCGCAATAATAAAACAAAGAATGAGAAGGTGATAGAAGGAAGAAACAAAGAATAACATCAGGAAAGACAGAAAGAGAAACATAGGAGACATAGGAGAAAGTGATAGAATGCTTAAAACAAAGAATTACATAAGAAAAGGTGATAGAAGGAAAAAGCAAAGAAAAACATAAGAAAAGAAGGAAGAAACAAAGAATAACATAAGGAAAGACAGAAAGAGAAAAAAATAGAAGGAAAACAAGGAATAACAAAACGGAACAGGCCACGATAAAGAACATGGTATAGTGAACACAAATTGCATGAAAAGCAGGCGCGCGGCTTTTGCCCAAACTGGAAGATGCCACGATAGAATCATGATTGAGACTACGTTCGTTCAATCGAATTTTAGCGACTGTGATTTTGCAGAATCATGATACAAAATGCATCTTTTTCAGCGTTTCATGTTTGTGTTTTTAAACACGTTTATTTTTACGACCGACAAAAAAAAATCGATTGAACGAATTGCGTTTTAAACTAAACGCCTTTGAAAACCGTGATTCTAGGGTGAAAAAGTGTCGATTAAATGCACCCTAAGATCAACCTTGTCCCATTTTGTGTGTTTTTGCATGGTTGATCCGAGTACTCTGACATGCTCAAAATGTCTTCATTTGGTCAAAGGATATCAACCATGTTGAATGTACCTCTGTAAATGGACAATGTAATTTTGTCGAATTCTAACTAATCTTATTCCACTCTATGTTTTCCCCTTCTGTGTCGTAACGGGATATGTACCTTTCAGTACAAATCAGAATTGTAATTGTAGTCATAATGGGCGTTGATAGAGACTTTGCACAACCGTTGTACCAGAACGCAAAAAAATCCTGTTTAAACCCTTTTGATCTAGGCTGGCATATAAAATATCTGAGAACAACATCGGTATTGCATGTTCCCTAAGTTTTGGCCTATCACATCAGAGACAATGGGATTTTAATCAAGAATGATCAAAAAGTACATTAGCAATTAAGAAACAAATCTAACCTTGCTGTAGAAGTAGAAACTTCACCAACTGCTGCTGCTGCACCTTGAGGAGGAATGTTGACTATTGTGGATGACGACAGCCTTGAAGATGTGGAATGTGTGTTCGCTAGTGATACCCCGGTTATTCCTGATGTTAAAGTAGATATTCATCGATTTTAAAAACTAATTTTTGTTCATTATTGCAAAGGTGAAACTTTGATTGGACAAAATTATCAAAATTCAATGCTTGGAAACATTTCAAATTAATGATTATCAATTACAAAATGCTTAAAAACAGCCCTGGAATAGCACCTGAAGAGCTCTTTGAACGCTGCTAAAGCCCTCATCACACCAAACTAGTTCTCACCACGTTCTGGAACCGTCCTAGAAAATCGTAAAACGGGTTGTGGTCGGGGCAGAATGTGTAAAAAATGTCTAGAATACAATCCTAGTTCGTTCGTAAACAGTCCTCAATATGTCCATCTCGTTTGTACCCCGTCCACAGCCAGTTCATATTAAGTTCAGATTGGGTAGATTAGGCAGTCCAAGCCAGTCCGTAGTCAGTTTAAACCCATTATTAACTAGTTCTACCTCGTTCCCAATATGTCCAAACCCATTCTAACTAGTTTGCCACTTGTTTTAACTAGTTTTTAACCCGACCACCCTGTTCAGAGGCAGTTCAACTCTTCCTCATCTCGTTCTGATTGCGTTCGAACGCGCTCTTAGACCGTGTGCAATCCCGTCCTGACTCGGGAGTTATAAAAACCCAGCGCGTTCTCGCCATTCCTCAACTTAAACGCTTTAGGCTTTGCAGATCAAGATGTTCAAGTCAAGCACCCATAACACCAAACTAGTTTTCACTACATTCTGGAAAATGTTGCCAAACAGGCTTGAACTGTGTGTAAACGGAGTGAACATATTAGCAACTATTTACAATCTTTTTAAGGACTTCATGGATAGGCTCGGACCGGCTTGGACGGGAAGGGTGGTCTAGAACTTTGAGCCTGTCCAAAATTCTCCCCGTCCTGCAATTGGACGGAGTGACAACGTACTTAAAACGAGATGGACGTATTACGATCGGAATTGTGGTACTATGAATTGAATTGCCGTACTTCGATCCTACTAGGAACGTGTTACCACGTGATGTGGTCGAGCATCAATGAGGAAGAACGCGCTGGGTTTGTATAGCCCTCGAACCAGGACGGGATTGCAAAGCACGATAGAAGCACGTTCGAACGCACTAAGAACGAGATGAGGACGAGTTGAACTGTCTCTGAACGAGGTGGTTGGGTTATAAACTAGTTAGAACAAGTTCTGAACTAGTAAAAATGGTATGGACTGCTTGGAAATATCAAATTCATCCGATCTGAACTTGATATGAACTGACTGTGGACGGGTACAGATGAGTTGGACGTATTGTTGCCTTTTAATGAACTAACTAGGGTCGTATTAGAGACATTAGTCCAGTCCGATCCCGTCCATAAAGTCCTTAAACAGGTCGCAAACAGTTGCTATTACGCCCAACTCCGTTCGCACACAGTTTGAGCTCGTTTGGCAACATTTTCGAGAATGTAATGAGAACTAGTTTGGTGTGATGGGGGCTTAAGATGTGTGACATCAATGCCGTCCATGCTATCATTCCCGTTTTTTTCTTCAATTTGAGAGTCTGGTTTCTTTGATTGTTAATAAACCCTTATCCTGTGTATTTACAAACACAAGATTTTAGTTATCAGAATCGGTTTCATATCCCCTATTGAATGGTGTGAAATGCCATCACATTTATATACACTAAACTCATTATACTTTGAGAAATAATAGCATTGCATTGTAGTGAGCACATTTTTTTTTATTGCCCTCGAAAATTTGAAAATTTACACCCCCCAAAAAGGTCGAATTTACATGTTTTTACACATTTTTTTTCCCAGGGACTGCTCCATATTAATTGCTATAGGGGTAGAAAGTTTTTAAGATTAAAGTATGTTTCATATTATTATGTTCTCAGCTGTTAAAATTAGTTTTTATTATTTTGCATGATTTTGCTTATGATATATTTTCAATGTCTTATATTGCTGTATAAATGACTCAAGGCTCAACACCCACAACCAACTATTACTTTCAAGACCCCCTTACCTATAATAATGTTATATCCGATATACCTCCATCGAAGATTTTCTTGAGGCATCTTCCTCTTTCACTATATAAAGTAGGAGAGGAAGCATCCTCGAAACATCTTCAATAATTTCTGTTTTTCTTGCCCTTTCAGGCTGTAGTGACTTGACCTTTGGAGAACTTTGCATTTGTAAATATTATTGTCTTGTCTTTATTGTGTGGCTTGAAGTCTAGCCTTTTATTCCATTGTCACTCATTTCTTTAGTGACACCTGTTGCATTACTAGAGTGCCACAAATACTTACTCTGGCAAGCACATTCCATACCCTATGGGTTGGGATGTGCAACCACCTAATGTACTGGTATAGCTTATACTGTACAGGGACATTACACTTGCTTGCTTTATTTGCCACACCTATTTTGATCACTTCTCCTGAGCTGTTCATATAGAGCACACGTATTCTAGAGAGTCTATCTACAGCAAAGCTAATTCAGCTTCATCTTAATTCTTGTCCTATTTCTTCGCTTGTTTCTCTACTCGGTTCTGAGGCCTTATTACTTTATAGAGATTATAAGTTTCTTCTTCGTTACTTAATTCGCGAAGAAGCGTCATTACTTTGTACATGGTCTTACATATTCTTTCTACGGGTGCTGTGCAATATTTGAACTACTACTTGTGATATAATATATGTTCCAAGTATCTGTACTCAACAGGTGTTTCTACGAGACAAGGTAGGAAAGAAATCTATTTCTATTTCTTTTATTTAGGTGATTTAATTCCCTAAACTGGTGATCCCGACGTGATACAGATTTTTTTTCTTCTGTTGATCTAATCTACCTTGTCATCGTCATTATCATGCCTGATACTGATAGCAATGTATTACCTAGTGAGGCTTCTGAGCCATCCCCTCAAGTCTCATATGTTAGTTTAAAGCTTCCACCATTTTGGGCACATGATCCTGATATTTGGTTTGCTCAGGTTGAGGCTCAGTTTCAAACTAGAGGTGTCTCAGTTGAGTCTACAAAGTTTGCTTATGTTGTCGCCTCATTACAACCAGAGGTAGCTCTAGAGGTGCGCGATATTTTAATTGCCCCTCCCCAAACAGAGCCGTACAAGATACTAAAAGCAGCACTGGTTAAGCGAACTTCTGTCTCTGAGCAAAAGCGTCTGAACAAATTGCTGACGAGTGAAGAGTTAGGCGATAGGTCGCCCTCCCAACTCCTTAGGAGAATGCAACAGTTATTAGGCTCTAATACTTTGGAAACTAGTATACTTAAGCAATTATTTTTGCAACGCCTGCCAACCAATGTACAGTTGATTCTCGCTTCCACAAGCGATGATGTCAGCTTGGTTGCGCTAGCGGCATTAGCCGACAAAATTGTTGAAGTTGCTGGTCCGCCTACTATTTCTCATGTCTTACCTAAAGAAGTGCCAGCGCAGACTTACGCTTGCGCTACTCCCAATGACTCTGGTGAAGTACATCGACTTTCTACCCAGGTTGCTCAACTGGCTGCTCAGGTGCAAGCCTTGACTTGTTCTATACAGGAGGACCGCAGAAGTCGCAGTCGACAGCGAGGCCCGAAGAATTCCGGCCCTCGCCAATCAGCTTCCCGTAGCCCGAGTCGGCATCAACAACATGCTGGGGCTGAATGTTGGTACCACTGGAAGCATGGCAAACGAGCCCAGAAGTGCATAAGTCCTTGTTCATACTCAGCAGGACAAAGCCGCCCTGGATATGTCCAGGGAAACGGGCCCGCCAAGGAATAGCGGCGACTAATTCACTTGGCACCATTCAACCCAGTCGCCTTTTCTTTGTTCATGATAAACAATCAGGCACGCGTTTTCTTGTTGATACTGGGGCCGAAGTTAGTATTTTCCCTCATTCCATGTTAGGAAAATCGGCAATGGTAAGTGCAACAAATATCCAACTTCAAGCTGTTAACAAGTCACCCATTAAGACTTTTGGCCAGAGATCTTTCACTCTTGATCTTGGGTTGCGGCGAGTTTTTCGTTGGATTTTTGTTGTCACGGACATACCTACACCTATCTTGGGAGCCGATTTCCTTGATAACTATGGACTATTAGTCGACATCAAACATCGACGGCTGATAGACACCACCACCACTCTTACAGTACAGGGAGTCGGTACATACACAGGCATCATTAGCCCGGTGTATGTCAAGCAAGATACTTCGGAGCGTTTCCACTCCCTTCTTCGTGAGTATCCTGACATCACCCGGCCAGTGTACAAGCACTCAGAAGTCAAGCATACAACCACCCACCATATCCAAACTCGAGGCCCACCTGCTTCAGCTCGCCCTCGTCGGCTTGCTCCAGATCGGCAGCAGATTGCCAAGGCAGAGTTTGAACACATGCTTGAACTCGGCATTATCAGACAATCTGATAGCAACTGGTCAAGTCCCTTGCACATGGTTCCGAAGAAGACACCAGGGGACTGGCGACCTTGTGGAGATTATCGCATGCTTAATGCTCGTACTATTCCTGATAGATACCCTATTCCTCATTTGCAAGATTTCTCTGCGTCACTTAGTGGCAAGACAATCTTTTCCAAGATTGATCTCATCAGGGCATATCATCAGATCCCAGTCGAGCCTAGCGATATCCACAAGACAGCTATAACCACCCCTTTTGGATTATTCGAGTTTGTTAGGATGCCGTTTGGCCTTCGCAATGCAGCTCAGACATTCCAAAGATTGATGGATGATGTCACTCGCGGTCTTCCTTTCGTCTATGTTTATCTAGACGATATTCTTGTAGCTAGTACTACCAAAGACGAACACGAGGCACATCTCCGTTTACTCTTTGACCGCCTGCAAGAGTATGGAATCTAAGGAATGGAATCCCGCTAAGTGTCAGTTCGGAGTACCTTTACTGTCCTTTCTAGGGCATAAAGTTGACTCGGAAGGAATACAGCCACTTAGTGACAAGGTGAAGATCATCCGTGATTTTCCGATACCTACATCACTTACCAAGCTACGAGAGTTCCTCGGGCTGATCAATTTCTACAGACGGTTCATTCCGCGGTGTGCAGAAGTACTCCAGGCTAAAGGTTGTCCACCCATGACACCCGGCCCTGTCAACCTGAGACCATCTTTGTCAAACATAATTTTGTTTTAAGCTATAGAGATACTATTTCTCTCTCTCAACTTATTACCATGATGTTAATTTAAGGTTCAGTATTACTCTACTACATGTTGAGTTTGAAACAACTTGCTCCATGATTAAGTTAAACTATGTAATCAGAGTTGCATATTCTTTGTAAATATATTGTAAATATGTTTTGTATTACCTATAGGAACCTATAGATTTCCTTTATAGTGCCTATAGTTCTCTAGTTTGTTTCGAGACTAGATTCTTGTTGATTAAGCATGAATGTGTAAATTGTTTGATAACTTGTTTCTGTGGACTGACAGGTGGGAAATTACAAAATTATGCTGCGCTAGTTTAATTAATGATCCTCCCCCCTCCCTAGAAATTTTGGTGCTACACATGCAGGTCCTATTCTATGTCCGTCAGCGTGTACAGGTGTGTCAACTATTCTTCACATGAGTGACTTTTATCCATATTTAAGACACACAGTAGTGAGCTCTCATGGGGAATTTGTCACCATTCAGGAGTTTACCTAATAACATGCATTATCAATCACCAGGATTAGCTTTCAGTTTCATGCCCAATAGGCCATATTTTGCATTTCCTACCATCACCCCATATGGAAAAGTTATTATCTTACATTTCCCTCACTCAAAGGCTCTCTGACAGACTAGGGGGTATTTCTTAATGGGACCACAGGTTTGCTGAGTGATAGATTTGTTTCAATAGAGAGCAAAATAGTTTTTGGTGGGGTACCAAGCCTTAAAGACCTACCAAACTTGAACTTGATTGCAGCCGTAGGGATGTTATGTAGTACACACTTGAGTGACATTCCCTTGTAGCAGTCTTTAAGCAGCATCTTCTTACTGCACTTCGGGCACAGAAAGCAGACATCATACTCTATCCTCCTAGCCCAGAGCTGAATAAGGCTATCAAGGGTTTCCGTAACAAAGTCCATCACCTGCCATGAATACACAAACAGCCCCAAGACAGATACTTTAATTTCCTTTTGGCTACTAGCTTACTTGATTTCACATCTCATAGTAGACGGATCTACAATTAAACTGTTATTAGGATACAGTCCACTGATAACACGTCGCATCGGCTTATATTGTCTTTTAACCTAACAAAGTCTGGGATACCGGCATTGTCTATTTGGGTGTAGGAAAAAAAATGGTCCACTCATCTTCCTGATCCACAAACAGTACTTGTTTTCCAATATCTATAGATTTAGACCAAAATCAATCATGAACTATTAATATTCTCTTGGAAGTTCATTTACAATTGTCTATAAGCCTACTCACACAGAACGGTTTGAGAAAGGTCTACAGTTTTGATGAAGCATAAAGTTTCACAGTATGATAGCTGAACTGTGTTACCACATTAACTAGATATAGAATGTGGCTAGTAACCAGACATTCAGAAATAGAATTAGAGTTAATCCTACATTCAACTGTAGTTGATTTCTAAGTCAAATTTTAAGTGCTCTTTGGTCTAACTTTATTGGTTTCCAATCTAACAGGACTATTAGGAAGTTTCACCTCACTTCAGACCATGGGATTGTTAGTGTAATAAAACAACAGACTACAGTTAACTCGATCTGCACAACTTAGATTAAGTACAAGTTATACTTTTTTCCTTAGTTAAATCTATTTTTGGGGAAAAAGCTATGCAAATCATGTGTTATTTACACTTCCTAAGTTGAATTTTCCAAAGTCAAACTATTTTTTGCAGTCCCACCTATTTGACTTATGTTAACAGTACTTTCTCTTAGAAATATATGTTCTATGACACATCCAAAAACTGTTTACCAGTGACAATTTCAATTCTATAGTTCAAATGGGTACTGACAGACAAAAGTTAGCTACCAATTTTCCAATCAAACAACAACAACAAAAGTTGTTTTGTTGAACGCGCATAGTAAATACTGTTTTGCGCCTCCTTCTCTGTTCATTTTCTAGTAATTGAAACCATCCTGTTGAGCTATATACCTACCTCTTTGACAGCACTTGGGGCTGGAGGTTTACGACTATCCCCATCATGATCGGCATCAGCAACCGGTCCTCGGAATACAGTGACCTGACATGTTAAAGAAACGTTGTGGAATCGATCAGAAAAGGTTGATCATCTAGCATTTAAGTATTGGTGTGTACTGCAAGGTTCTGGAATCATCAATATGATAATAAATTTGGCCCAGTCTTGGTAAATTTACAAGCACTGTACACAGAAAGATGTATATGGGAATACGCGACACGTGTGCAATATCGATCCAGTTCAGATAGATATAATAATTTACCAAATATATCAATTAGTAGGCGGTTTCTCGGCAAAATGTGTATCATCACGTATTAGTGAAAACATATTCTTTCACATGATTGGTAATAAGAGCTTCCATTTCACTTTTTGAGAGGGAGGGGCATTTCCAAAACTTGTCTTTACCTTTAAGCATCAAAGGTAAAGGGGAAAAGATTAAGAAATTAATAATATGATAGTGTGTAATTGTGTAGTTTCCCTCTATTTTGTGAGGTTTATTTATTAATTTATTTATAAATGTATTTATTCTGTGTTCGTTTTACAGAGTAAGAACCTCAGCACACATAAACTGATTTGCAAGAAAGTACTCATTACATTATACAATTTAAAAAAGACAGTGTAAAACAAACAATTATAGAATAACAAAATATTAAAATTCATTACAAAACGAAACAAGAACAGAAAGATAGATTAAAAACAGGAACAATTATTGGGCTATATTGTGATCACATCTTAAATATACTTATCAGCTTAGAATATATGTGTATTTAAAACCAATTAAAAAAAAACAGAAGGAGAAATATTACGAGGTTCCACTATACAGATTAGAGAACTAAACACCAGACCTTGATACTAAATAATAGGTTCAGTTTTCAGGGTAACACAATGCAATTCTTTCAAAGAAATAAGAGCCCTGAAGAGATCTTGATTCTCTATGTATGGACAGTATGATCGTCTTTAGGAGAATGACAATACCATTGCCTGGCGGAGGCTATCCATTGCCTATGAAAGGATCCGATGCACATGCAGCCTCAAAAACTTGACCTAAAATTCAGTATCTCCACCATGAGGGTAAAAAAAAAAATCGCTGACACTTGACTCAGACCTTGATAGTGGCTTCAAGTGGAGGTAACATCTCTAGTAAGGCATGATGCACTTCATCAACCATTAGACTGATGTGACGATGGAAAAGATTGACTGGTTTTCCATCTCTTTCATCCATCCATCTGACTGCTCTTGTCATCAACCGATGAAACAGCCCATCTGTGGAGAGGGCAAACCAAAAAGGTGACGAACAGATTGTGGCTAGTGACGTTTTGAAAGCCAGCTCAGAAAGATATCTTAGCTGCAATAATACTTCAAGAAAATTATATATTTCTGAGGAAAAAAATACAAGTTTCTATCAAGATGGATTAATTCTCTGTCTAACTAGATGGAATTTGACTGCGCGCAGACAAAAATGATGCCTCCGCCATAGAGCAATTTTACAAACCAAAACGGAAGCAATTTTTAAAATTCAAGTTTGATTGTAATCAATCTGTCGCTTTTAATGATAATGCATTCACAAGCTATTTATAGTCAAACATAATGAGCCCTGTGACCTTTGCCCTTGTGACCCCAAAATTTAATCAGTTAATTGGCTCTGCAAGATACATACATGACCCAAGTTTGGCAGGAATCCATCGATCGGTTCTTGAGATAACGCGATCACAAACTATTTTTGTATACATAATGAGCCCTGTGACCTTTGACCTTGACCTCATGACCCCAAAATTTAATCAGTTAGTTGGCTTTGCAAGATACATACATGACCCAAGTTTGGCAGGAATCCATCGATCGGTTCTTGAGATAACGCGATCACGAGCTATTTTTGTATACATAATGAGCCCTGTGACCTTTGACCTTCGACCTCGTGACCCAAAAATCTAATCAGTTCATTGGCTCTGTTAGATACATATGTGACCCAAGTTTGGCAGGAATCCATCTACCGGTTCTTGAGATAACGCGATCACGAGCTATTTTTGTATACATAATGAGCCCTGTGACCTTTGACCCTCGACCTTGTGACCTAAAAATCTAATCAGTTCATTGGCTTTGTTAGATACATACATGACCCAAGTTTGGCAGGAATCCATTGATCGGTTCCTGAGATAACGCGATCACAAGCTATTTTTGTATACATAATGAGCCCTATGACCTTTGACCTTTGACCTCGTGACCCCAAAATCTAATCAGTTCATTGGCTCTGTTAGATACATACATGATCCAAGTTTGGAGGGAATCCATCAATTGGTTCTTGAGATAACGCGATCACGAGAACGGGACGTACGGACGTACGTACGTACGGACGGACGGACAACCAGAAAACATAATGCCTCCGGCTACTTTGTAGCGGAGGCATAAAAATATAGTCATAACAACAGAATGGCTACTGGTTTGTACATCTGACCGCCCTGACACATCCATGGGAAAGATCTACATTTGCCACTAGCCCATGCAGTAGCCCAGAAGAGCTGGTGTAATATTGGAGCAGCTTGAGCACCTTGCATGATGGATATGTGCACTCTGACAATATCCAATAGTGATATTATCATTATCATTATTAAAAAGCAAATAAAAAGAATATTGTAGACTAATCTGATACAAACAAATTATCATAGTCTGTAGCTTACCATCTTTCTACACAAGGTTGAAGCCAATCATAAAATTTTCAAATCAATACGTGAGTTGGACATAGTAAACTTCTTGTTTACTTTGGATGCATGGGTCACCCTTGGCAAGAACCTACAAGGTCAGTCAAACTTGTCTATTGAGGCCACTCAAGGAAAATAGAGCAAGTGGCCATATGGACAGGAGATCTTTCAGAACACACAATTCTTTCTCAAGGGAGACAAAATGCATGGCCTTTCTAGAGAGGTGGCCAATTAGACAGACAGGTTTGACTTTATACAAACCTTGTTGCAATCTAATTGCAATATAGTATCTTTGGAGCAAGAAGGGTATTAACTATACAATACACTACATGTGTTAACACCCTACTGGCTGTAAACAGATGATGAAATCATTCTCACCTGGTAAGAAGCGCTGGAAGTCCACATAAAAGTCTGTAGAAGATTTGATCTGTGCAATCTCTTCTGGGGGGCAATGGGACGTCAGCCTGGAAGGAACATAGTAGCGCTTGTTTCCCACCTTCTCTGTTTCATTTGATACCTAAATTATCAAAACATATCCAAATACTCAAACCATAAATACAAAACAAAATATACAAGATACAACAAAACAATTTTTTTGAGAAATCTAAGCAAAAAATAAAGCAGTTCACATTTCACTCATCATTTCATTTTACGCATCCCACTCCTGCCACTAAATTTTTGCAAGTTACACATCAACATCGACCTATTGAGCAAATTTGATTTCAAATTTCAGAAATACAAATTTTGATACCATTTGTAAAAGCTTTCAAAACTCTACTTAATTTCATAGCACAAATCCATTTTGTTTAAAAGGAACATGTATGCAAATATAAAACAAAATTACGGTATCCATGCATGAAGTCTTTCGTCTATGTCTGATCGTCAACGAAACGGAGTTAAGTCATTTATCAATTCCGTTTGTTGCTACGGCAGGCAACCAGTGAAAACGAATTCGTTTAATCAAATTATGGAAATGCAAGCATCACTTTAAACAAACAGAACTTTGTTATTCCTGGCTCATTTTTCCTGAAATATAAAAGAGCAGAAAGTGAACTTTCTAGAAATGTGAATTTTTCTTTGAAATTTAGATACCGCCCGCCAAATGACTTTTTGGTTTCCTTCCTTCAAATTGTTTTTAATCACTCATGCGTGAAATATGCATCATATGAGTTGCATCAAATGAAAGAGGAGGATCTAAGCTTTACAAATATGTGTCATTTATTAATTATAATTGTGATTAAGTTGTGATAAAACATTGATAATTCTCGATTTCATTTTTTCTGGGTCGCACTGTATATATATCTATATTGAATAAGGCAGACTAATGGAACATTGAGCACTGTACGGAAGGATTGAGCAAAGCATTTCCCTTGTTTGCACCTACATTGTTTGTATATTTCTAGTCACAATATTCTGAGGTTAACGTGAAACACTGAGGAAAGCGTAAATAAAGATGTTTAGCACCTGCAATAATTGCTTTTGTTGTAATATACTGCCCTAAACGAATTCCTAACTTCAGCAATGGACAAATAAAAATACCCTAACCCAAACCCTTAACCGAAAAGCCCAATTACAACCATAACCCTAACCTTATACTTTCGATTAAATATAACCCGGGGAATCGCTGCAGGAGTACGGGTAGGAGCACTATTTAGCTGGAGATTTACCTCAGTGTCTACTCCATCCTGTTGCTCTTGCTGGAGTCGTTCTACAGGAGCCTCACAGATGAGATCAAACTTGGCCATGAGCTTGACTAGGGCCTCCTTATGCTCCAAAAAACCTTGCCACATATGATGAATCAACCTATCCTCTAAGATACCATCCTTCTGAAGAGTGGTCCAAGCATCACTCACGATGCCATCCTGGAATTAAAACACAATGTCAACTTAATGGCAGTTGACAAAACTGGACATAGGAGTATGGATTGTAAACCATCATTACATTACATGGTGAAGTGATAGCTTTGTTACATCAATATTATAAATAATATTTCCTATCATTTTCATAAATACTCTGAAACTCTATCTCTCAAGAGACTTCTTTACAGCCTTTTTCACATAGGTAATAGTGCCGCAGTTTACCGCAAGATTTTTTTAAAACTGTAATGTACTTCAAATTTTCTATCTTTTTAAACATGGATACATTGCGTCTGAATCTGATGAAGGGGGAAATATACATATATAAAGCTAAAAGAGACATTGTTGATGTATTAGCTCTATATAAACCTAGATTATTATTATAAATGGAGGGGAGGGTTTTTTACCCTATTTCTGCAGAACTCAGAATGATATATAGAATGACCTGCTTGATTAGTTTTAAATGTTCACTTAATTCCCTTCATTTCGTAATTTAAAAAAACCTGCTGCAGCTTACTGCAGAAAGAGTGAAGAGGTTGTAAAGGAGGAGGTTTCTCACCCTCTTTGCAGGATCCAGGATGGTTATGACCTGCTTGAAGACATCAATTAGCCACTGAGGATTAAGGATCACCATGTCTCGTAGGAGAGACTGCTGGTCTTCAATGCCTCCGTAGTAGACGACATACCCCAAGTCGTGGTAGAAGGTCAGCATCGTGAGAAGTTCATGCTCCGATTCCATCCCGACTGGCTGCATCAGTTCCTTGGTCTGGGAGAATACAAAAAATATCTTCAAAATCATGTTATGATTGGTGAAAAACAGTATAAAAGTATATATATCAAATAAATAAATATCATAACAGTAACATTACATTAAATTCCCAAAGGGCATATACAGAATATAAATATAATATTAAAGCAATACAGAAAGCAACATGTAGCCTGAATCTTGTGCCATGAATTTCAAAGGCACTAAAACATCCTATCAAAAACGGGCATATACACAGAGCCATTTGCAAAATTGAAAGGGTATGATTGATGCATTTTGATATTTTGGCAATACCGTACATATTCCCAACAATACCAGGAGGGTGGAAGTGGCTATGAAGAAAATATTTGGAAATGGCAGGAATAAGCGTTGCAGTCCTACCTGATCTAATGACATGTAATTGACTTTATCTGCAGCTAGAGCTTCCTCAAATAAGAGCCATCTGAGTGGAATCTCTTCTCCCATGTAAGGCTCTTCCATCGCCACTTTCTCTATATGTCTCCTCAACGCGACCAGCTACAAAGGAAAACACGTATTTGTTGGTTTATATTTATAAAAAATAGATGGACTTCGACTGCGTGCAGTCGAAAAATGATGCCTCCGCAATAGAGTAATTTTACAAACCAAAACAGAAGCAATTTTTTTAATTCATGTTTGATTGTAATCAATTAACAAGTTCTCAGAATGTTGTGGTAACAAGCTATTTTTCATATACATGTATGACCATTTGTATTAGGTTCATGGTATGACCCTTTGATTTTTGACCTCATGACCCTAAAATATAATCACTTCATTGGCTTTGCCAGATACACATGATCTAAGTTTGATAGTAATCCATCAGTCGGTTCTAATGATAATGGGCTCATAAGCTATGCATATATCATGAGCCCCATGACCTTTGACCTTTGACCTCATGACCCCAAAATCTTATCAGTTCATTGGCTCTACAAAAGACATACATGACCTCAGTTCAGCAGGAATCCATCAATCAGTTCTTGAGATAATGCGATCACAAGATATTTTTGCATAAATAATGAGCCCTAGCTGTTACCTTTGATATTGTGACCCTAAAATCTAATCAGTTCATTGGCTTTGAGATACACACATGAACCAAGATTGGCGGGAATCCATCAATCGGTTCTTGAGATAACGCCATCACAAGCTATTTTTGTGACCTTTGACCTTGTGACACCAAAATCTAATCAGTTCATTGGCTCTGCAAGATACATACATGACCAAAGTTTTGCAGGAATCCATCATTCGGTTCTTGAGATAACGCGATCACGAGAACGGGACGTACGGACGTATTGTTGAAATGGTCCAAACATATGGAGCAATTTGTGCAGCACTTTGTAACTGCAAGGAAAAGTCACTTTACTTTTGGATTGGATAGATAATCAGTAATCCTCTTTTGCTACAGGGTTACTATAAATTGTAATAGTTGATGATTATTTGTGTACCTCTTCATCTTTGTCCTCTAAGCTGTTTTCAATGGCATAATACTTGGGGACCACATGGCATTCAAACGGCCAAGTCATGATAGAGTCATGGATCTTCTCAAAGGCAGTACCAATCTAGAAGACAAAAAGAGTGAAGTGAACAGAAAATACACATCTTAGTCATAATGTTAAACATGCATGCATACCTCGCTTTAGATGAGAACATGATAATCTATGCAAATAAAAAGAATGCCAATATGAAATAGCATAATGCAATTTAAAGACCATCATGATGTCTCATTGGTTTTAATACAAGGACAAAAATGAGAGAGAACAGAGCAGTGAAGAATTTCAATGAAACACAATTTGGCAACTCTGTGACTTATCTTTTGAGGTCCTCTCCCATTTGCTTGGTAGTGCAAATTTCATGTATTTTTATTTTCTAGCTTATATCAATGAAGGAATGGGGCATTGTAAAAACATGTTTGTAATGAGTACATCTAGGGTGCATGTATGACAAAAAAAATTGTCCAGATGATATAAATATTTGTTTAAATTTATTACCTTTTAATCAGATAAAACGTACGGCTCAAATTTTCACTGGTACTATCAAATATAATATCAGGGTGAACTTTTCCTTTAAAATGTCCACTCACAAAAAAGTGTAAATCCAAATGTTGCAAAGTTTTAACTATAGTCAAGCTGTTCTAATGCCATAGTCCAATCCCACTGCCAAACTGACTCATAACTGAATCCCAATGACCAATATACTGGCCATCACCCAGGGTTAGACAGAAGGATAACCGTCTGGTATTGGGAATTTCTTTAATAAACCTGACATTTGTCAGCCTGACAACGACTCCTGTTGACGAAAAGTCTTTCTCGAATTAAAAGTTGATTTAGGAACTAAATGAGCATGCTATTTTTTACAATAAAGACAGGGGAGTGTGTTATTGCAATCAAAGTGGAAATATGAAGACGTAAAGAGTGAACAAAACTCGTAGCATCTCATTCATCTTGGTCTGGCTGGATGTATAGTCTCAGCGGAACAACCGTTGATATCAGAGTAAACTCAGGGTATGGTACTTAGAATGCAGGGGTAGAGGGTTCGAATCCTGACGCGGCACTAACGTCCTTTGGCAAGACATTAATCCACATTTGCCACTCTTCACCCTTGTGGAAATGGGTACCTGGCAACTTCAGAAGTAATAACAATTCTCGCTATTGCCAATACCTTCAAATGCCTGCATGTAGTTTCATGCCCTTTTTTAAATGCACTCTGGGATAGCTTGGTGACTTAGTCACTTCCGGTCTATTTTGTGCGGCTGTATATAGGCTACTGTGCCGTCCAATTGAGAAGGCGCGGAGAGGCGTGGCAGCCGGCAGTTAGTATAGTCACCGGGCTAGCTGTCAATTTATCATTGAAATAGTTGGATGCTAGTACTTCCTTTCCCTTCGGCTTTTTTCATAGTATATCGTAAGCAATTATCTATTTTTAACAAACTGAGTTGTTTTATATAGTGCTTAATACATCCACGATGTCTCTAAGCGCTTTACAAATATACTATTACCCCGGTCATTGGATTCAATACGTGCCAATCTTCTATTGAATTTGTGATCAAATCACCATTTTAGGGCAGTTGTTTGACGTGCGGTATGTTAAAAAAAAACAAAAAAAAAACAATTATTAAAAAATGTATTTTATGAAGAAAAAACGTAATACCGTAATTTGGAGGGAAAAACGGGGTAATTCCGGCAAAAACGGAATGGTTGGCAGCGCTGGTCGCATGAAAAAGAAAAGAAAAAACGTTCAGAGATATCACTTGGGTCAAATTCCTAACAGATCCTACACAGCGCGCGACCTTGAAAAAGTTACTCCGAAGGCAAGACAAGTTTTGAAATCACTTGTCTTGCGTTCGGAGCAAATTTTTCCAGGTCCAGGTGCATGCACAATATGTGTACCACGAGGCGCACATCTCGGCATTTGGGGGGCATTATTAGCAATAGCAAGAATTGTAGGACCGTCAGGAAGAACAGCTAGCTGATGCTGATCTGGATCTTCCTGGGGTAAAAAAAAAAAAAAATTATTATCAACACACATGTATATCATGAAACACTACCTTTTTCTTTTTCTCTTTTGCATCTCCTTTCACACTTTCTCGATGAGTTCCAACGATAAATATCGGTGGAGATTTCTGGGCAGTATTAGACGTATTCTTATTTCTGACCGAAGAGGGCACCACAGCATGGGCGAAGATGGAACACAACCAGAAATTGATAAACTGTAGACATGTCAGTTCTGATTTGGCACCTCCTTTAGCCTGTGTTTTAATTGTAAAGAGATATGTATGATAATAGGGCAATGATAAAAACACACAGAAACAACCATGCTTTGTAATCATTCTAACAGGGTAACGCATATACATATCCCATTCCTCACATCCCTTTTTTTTTTTAATTGTTGAATGATTTATTGATTTATTTATCTTCATTATCTTCCAAAATAAGAAATGATTACAGCATGATAATCAGATCATAATTATCACAATTATGTCCTTACATTGTAATATAACCATAAAATAGTCATGAAGAAGGATTGCAACATTGCGTGGCAATCCTTTATGCCCGCGTCACACTGTCCCGAAGTTGACATAAGATGGACACACGATGAAGGAAAATTCCAAATTCGAGCCATATCAGGCCATTCGTGAGGCAGCTGAGGCAATCGTATGACCGTCGGTTGATTTTTCAGGCTCCGGCAGCAACTTCGTGAACGATGGCAAAATCTTTTGCGTGCCAAAAATTTGCCCGAAGACCTTGCAAACGTTTATTTTCATGTTGTATTCGTGAATCCATGTTGCCCTTCGTAAGGCCATCGTGAGGGCATCTTGTCAAATCATGTCATCTTCGTAATTACTTTGTGTGATCATCGGTGCCATCAGGCACTTATCATCTCATGAAGACAATACGAAGGAAACAAGAAACTGCCCGAATGTCTTCGGAAGGCAACATGACTATGTGAAACCCTCGCAAAACATAGTGTAGCTATCGTATTATAGTGCGATGACATCCAGATGGGACCACGCGGTGTCGGCGAAGACAGCCGAATTTAAGTAGCTAGCTCAAGCGTTTCCCATGTGTCATGGTAACGTGGACATTTGTTGCAATAAGCTATATTTCTCGTATCTATATATACTGATTTGTTTTTCAGATTCAATTTATCATGTTATGCAATGTTTTATATAACATTATGTGTTTTTAATTTTGTTTGTAAACTTTTGTATTTCGGCTAACTGCTGCGATTTGAAATAAACCATTTTGAATGAATGAATAAATGAATATAAAAAGCCAGCCTCATAGCCAGAGGCTTTTCAAGTACCCCAAAAGTGCCCTTTCTAACGTAGGAAAAGTGCCCCTATAACTTTGTAACAAGTGCCATTTTTTACAGAGCAAAAGGCCCCATTTTACCTTAAAAAGTGCCCATTTCACTTTTGACAAGTGCCCCCCTACACCTCTGATAATATACCCTATTCAAATTTGAGAGATGCCCCTTTTACTTTGCCCAGTGCTTCTTTTCCTTTGTAGGAAGTGCCTCTTCCCCTTTTAATAACTATACCCACTTTAACTCCCATAAGCACACCTTTTATTTTCATGTGTGCCCCCTTTTCTGTACGATAAGTACCCCCATTAAAACAAAGGAGCTCCTTCCCCTTCTCATAAATGCCCCTTTTTCACCTATTAAAAGTGTCCTTTTTCATTCTCATAAGTACCCCTTTTCATATTTAGTCAGTGCCTCTTTTCAGGGGCAATAATGTCCCTTTACACCTCTGAAAATTTTCTTTTTAACAATGATACGTGTCCCTTTTCCTTTCTAATAAGGGACCTATCCCCTTTTCATTAATTCCCATTTTCAACTCTTATGAATGCCTCTATCAAAATCTGATGGGTGCCCCAATTCCGTCGACAAATTCCCATTTACCATTCTCACAAGTGCCTTTTTAATCCCTGGTGAGTGCTTCTTTTCAGATATAAGAAATAAGTGTTTTATCTTTTTCGATAATTGTCCCCTTTACTTCCCTTTTCAAACGTGCCCCTAATTTAATTAAAGTAGATATTCATTGATTTTAAAAACTAACTTTAATTTCATTGATGCAAAGTTGAAACTTTGATTCGACAAGGTTATCAAAATTCAATGCTTGGAAACATTCGAAGTAATGATTATTATAAATTACAAAACGCTTAAATACAGCCCGGTATAGCACCTGAAGAGCTCTCCGAATGCTGCTGAGATGTGTGATATCACAGTATGGACATGATTTGCACAAGCAGACGATGTCCCAATACATCTCACACATTTTCAGTGCCTGTGTTTTCATCTTCTCTTGAGTTCTTTTTCTTACTTCACTACTGTCAGGCCTCACTCTAAACCCTGTGCATGGTTTTATTTTGATGACAAATGCAGCGATAAAAAAATAAAGGAATCTGTCACTTGTAAACAAAATAAGACGCCATTGTATATTCAGCTGCACACACCCTGGTATGTTCGGCGTTTAAAGAGGGAACAAATGCCGTCCTTAATATCATTCCGGGGGGTTTTCAATTTGAAAGTCTGGTTTCTTTGATTGTTTATTAACCCCTATCCTGTGTATTTACAAGCAAAAGATTTTAGTTATCAGAATCGGGTCATATCCCCTTTTGAATGGTTTGACATGCCATTACATTTATATACACTAAACTCAATATAATTTGACAAATAATATCTTTGCAATTATGTACTATCTTTATGGGATGTCGTCTGGTTGGGCAGTATTGGTCCATATAGTGACGTCATTAAAACATCGTTATTTTTCTGACGAATCTCTCGTATATCCCAGCTGATATGGAGGTGGTTGTATTTGTATTTTTATAAATCACCCGATATGTAGTTGACCTAAAACTTGTACAATGGCCATCTGTTAGCTTACCAGTTTCTAGTGAAACATTAGTTGACATATTTGTGATTTTCTTTGAATTTCACCTTTAAAGTGAATATTAGGGCGATTTCTCCCAAAGCTCGCTCGCTACACTCACTTGCATTGATTTCATAGATGATATAATTATGTTACTTATCAAAGGTTTTTTCAGCAGTCTTCCGTATGAGAATCTGAGTATAACCCCATCAGTATTGGATTTAATTCTCTTTATAAGATGTAATTTTTTGCACTGCAACCTCACAAATCTTAACATTTTACCTCGCTCGCATATGAATATTCAGACCATCACACCCAACTGCAAAGTATGATGCTTAAACAATATCTTGTATGATGTACAAAGAGAAATAAATATTGAAAGCATCCCTGTTAATGTAACCACAATGTATAGGGGTACATACCAATGTCTAACAAATTGTATATTTTCGATTTGAGATTTCCCTTTGTAGGTGCCCTTTTTTCCAGAAAGTGCCCTTTTGTGTTGGTCCCATCCCCCAATTTGGAAGTCGCTCCGACGCCCCTGCTCTGAGCATCATTAATTTCCGATCAGTATTTGAATTTCCCACCGTCGGTCGAAGGTTTATACCATCGGGAGGTCATGTGACGCCTTCGTAACCTAGTTGGAACGCATCGTACTCTCAATACGACGTCATGTAGCCATTGTGTGGCCTTCGTGTGGCCTGCGGGTACACTTCCTATTACAAATTGACATCTTTGTGTTGCCTCCGTGAGTGGTTAGGGTGCAATCTTGTGACCTTCTGTAGGCATCGTACTTGCTTCGGCTGTTGGTTGGCTGTAGACCAAGTTCGGGGCCATCTTCGTGCGAAGTTCAAATTTCCTTCATAGTGTGTCCATCTTAATATGTAAACTTCGAGACAGTGTGACGCAGGCATTATAAAGCTTCATAATATGATATATAATATTGAGGAAAAAGTATATTCTGCCTTTTATACCTCTCTTTAGAAATCTAGCCATCTGATTGGTAGAAATAGGAGTCGTGATTTTAGCCATTCCCGTAAAGAAACGAACAATGCCAGTGCTGGTTAATAGTTCATGAGTGAGATTCCCACAAGATTCCGAGTACTGGGAAAATAGTAAAATTTTGCTGCGATCCCCATTGGTTTACGTGTTAAAACTTAGTTTGTGCGAGCGCGCATACCATACAGTGCTTTTGTCTGCAATTCCCAAATGATTGTAACATTCAGTCATCATTCCAGCGAAGATTAATAGACAGTGTCTCAAATTTTCTGTGATCTTTTAACCAATCTTCACTCAAGGAAAGGATAAGGTAATAATTCTTGGTAGACTTTTATCTCAATTCGGCATATAAAAGACATATCAACTGCTTTAATATTCTAGGAATGGCTGATTTAGAGGCTCAAAGGGACGTTGCATCCTCCCATGACCCCGAGGCGCGCCTGCCTCTCAAAGCAGTTAATATATCTATAATATTAAATGAAATAGAAATCATTAAAGGATGGGGGTGAAATGAGATCTATGAAAAGATGACACGAGGAATAGCAGTACTCTTTGATTTTTGATCAGTAAAACATTACCATCTATTATGATTGGTAATTTTTTTCTTCTCAAAAGTTGATCGCTTTAATGACATGCCCAAGTGATTCCATGACATTTGCTCCGGCGACAATTGCTCCGCTGTAAATTTCATACACTAATCGAATGGCTAACTTCAACCCTGGATTCAACACTATACCCTACCCTAAACCTAACCCTAAACCTAACATAAAACCCTATTGAAACCCTAACCCTAACCCTACATCTTAGACGAAATAAAGCCCGGAGCAATTGTCGCAGGAGCAAATGTCGTGTCACCGCCCAAGTGTGGAAGTGATTGGCGGGATGACCTTGTAGGCCAACATGAATTCTTTTAACAGAGATGGACTTTCAAAGAGATGGAAATTTCAACTATTTAATCTCACACCATGCTCTCAAAAGAAAGAAAAAAAACCTAATACATCACTGATTTAATTGCACCAACAATTTACACATGTATCAATCCAGAAGAAAACAGGTACTTGAAGCTATACTTAAAAAGAGTTGAAATGTCAATGAGCAAGAGCTTTAAAAATACATTTTTCGTGAGTAATGAATGATGGAAATATGTAAAACTTGACAATTAAACTTCAGCAAATAATGAATAATGAGTAATGAGTAATGAATGATGGAAATATGTAAAACTCGACAATTAAACTTCAGCAAATAACTAATGTTTTGCAAAGAAAAACACAACACTATCTACCATTTATCTATCCCCTGTATTAAAAGCATAATTTATTTTTTACCAAGCAGTATAAAATGAAATAAAGAAATACCATTTCATAATACTGGTCTCTGGATTCAGGGGGAACAACAGAATCTAAATTTCTACTGAGATCAAAGACAATCACATAAATGGCTCGCCACGTCAGAAACACCTACAGGAGAAGGGAATAAAAATGGTCCATAAGTAGTTAATAACTACCATGCTTTGTTGTTTCTTGCATTTGTAACTCATGAATGCAAGGTGGACTGGTTGAATTAGGGCCTTTGTTAAATACTTTAAGATGTAAGCTTCAATATGTCACATTCTCAAGAAACATAAACCTGGACAAATTAATTGTTCACATAGGTGTGTAATAATGTGCATATTAAAAGTACATGAATCCATGTGCCCTAAATCTGAAGCATTATATTGAGACAATGTAATAATAGTCTCCATCTCTAATTTCTTTGAGAATGAGATATCTACACTGAAATGCCATGATGGATGTATGGGAGACAGTAGTCAATAAAATTTATTCAATTTTTTTTAAATTCCAGAATCTAACAATACTTTTCACATTTGCTTTCATGGCACCACGGTATAATTTACAAGGAATCTATAGTTCTTAAAATGTTCTTTTACCTGATGGGTTGTGTAGTATATGTCGTGTCCGGCAAAGTCCCATATACTTAGTGAGACTCCTTCTCTTCTACCGCTATCAGCATTGTCTGATCCTATCTCCTGAGGAATGAAGAAAATTAATACACATCTATATGAACAGTTATCAAAAAACAATTTTACAATAAAATAATGGGAACATGCTCATCTTGTCATCCTGCTACTGTTTTAATTTTTTTTGTTTTTTTGGTCTGTTATGTTTTGTTTATTCCGTAATTTTTCAAAATTAAGTTATGAATGTATAAAGTTTGAATTATTATTGTGAGAACCTACACCTAACAAGCATTGCTTCCAAGTACAGTGTGTAGGTTCGTTTCTCATTTCCTGTACTGAATAATTTTGCATTACAAGACTAAAAAAAACAATGGTCAATGTCAAAGATATTTCAATGCTAATTTTCTGTTATATTCAGTTCATAAATGATTTCAAAAATTCCTCTGATATCTTATCCTTTATCCTTTTTGTCGATGACTCTTACATTTTCTATTCACATCGTGACCATCACACTCTCTTAGATACAATAACTAAAGAATTACATCATGTGAACGACTGGATCCAAGCAAACAAATTATCACTCAATGTAGGGAAAACTAATTTCATGCTTTTTAGTAACACAGTTACCCAATTACCTGGCGATATCCTTTTTAATAATACAAAATTAGTGTGTGTTGATTGCATGAAATTCCTTGGGTTATCCATAGATAATAAATTAACATGGAAAAACATATTGATAATATGTGTAAAATTTTATCTCGCAACATAGGGGTGATCAACAAACTAAAATTTTGCTTGCCTTCCCGTATTTTATTGACCCTTTACTCTACCCTCATTCTTCCCTATTTAAATTACGGTATTCTTGCGTGGGGAAACGCACGAAAAATCCATACAAACAGAATTTTCTTATTACAAAAACGAGTAGAGAGAATAATAAATAATGAAACATTCTTTTCCCATACAGAAAATTTATTTGTTGAAAACAAAATCCTTAACGTACACGACTTATTTTCATTCCACCTAGGAACATTCATGTTTCAACTAACATCCAAACAAGTACCCAGTGCTCTTACTAAATTATTTACAACTAATGCACACATACCCTACCAAACGTCGTAACCAATATCATCTTCCTTTAACCCGAACAGTCTTCTCACAAAAAACAATTGTATATACTGGATCAAAATACTGGAATACGCTTGATGCCTCCCTACAACAACACTCAAGTATCTTTTGCTTCAAGAAATACCTAAAGCTCACTCTGTTGAAGTCACACTCTGCTCCAGCTATGCAACCCTAAGTCGTTAACCTGCGCACAATAAATAAATTATGCACAAACAAACTTTAGTACGCAAATTTATCACTAAACACGGACTTGCTTTCTGTTTTATCTGGTCTTCTTACTCTTGCCTTCCGACTCCTCCCAGTGAATTTCTTTCTTTCCTCTCTAAAGAAATACAAATAGACTACCTATTACGTGGCCCTACTCCTACCTTCTCATCCTTCTCATCCTTTTTTGTGTTTCATCATATGCTTTTTTTTTCTTTTCTTTTCTTGTCATCTATTTTTTTCTTTCTATCGTTCATTATACGCTTGTACAAGATACTATTGGACCATCTTCGGCGTGTTGTCTGGTTTTTGCGTGTTTGTTCCCGGAGAGTCTGAGATTCCCTTTTTTACCCTCTCAGTTAAATCAAGCAATATAAAATATGTTGTCTAATTCTCAAACTTAAAAGTACTCTGTAAACCTATTTGATTACGAACATACTTGTCAGTATTTCGTTACTTGTATAATTCATTTGTGCCATTATATACATGTATTGTATTACTGTATGGTTTATATATGTCATTTAATTTGTGGATATTTGAGTGGAAAATAAACAAAATAAAATAAAATCAAATCAAATCAAATCAAATTGTAATTGATATGTATATTTTTATAATTTTGCATGTTTTGATCTGTGAATTGTATCACAATTCAGCCTTTTATGGCTGCGAAGATATTTTTTGATAAACCTTGAATTGAATTGAATATATCATTATGTTTATTATTGTGATTATCTTGTTATTGTTTATAATATATATATTATGTGGAAAGAAATTTGCATTGTATAGAGCGACTATTTCAGTACTGATCCTGAAGACAATCACAAAATCAATTTTTCCAGACTTGTATCATGAAGAAATCTTCTATATCACATGATAATGTAGCATCATTTTTTAAATAGCAGAGAATGAGCAAAAACATTCAGTAAGCAAATAACCGTTGTGTATCTTAGATATAGACCTATTCACTCCACTGCAGCAAACAAGAATGTTTAAAGTCCAACATGTCATTGAAGGAGCAGCAAGTTAAAAAAAGGGGTTTTGTTCCCTTGCAAGGTATTTTTTGTCCAGACCTGTTCCACACTAAAGGCATCTTTTTTCCCCTTGATAGATCTTCCTCACTCTCATGTGCCTCATGATATAACATAGATTTGTCATCCCACTCCTGACACCAAACAAGATTGAGATCAGCTGGTATGCTTACGGTATATGTATGTTTTCTTCGGTTTAGAAATACTTTTACTTTCCATCTCTCTATCTTTCTGGGACTAATGGATTATCTGCAGTTATAAATTCCTGTGCCTGTGGTAACAAACCATAATCCGATGATACCATTAACTGTATCAGATTTATCATACCCGTTGTCAGAGGTGGGTATGCTGGCAGTCACAGCTCTGTAGAAACATTTCTGTTAACATCAATGTTTAAGGTCATGTACGTTACACAACACTTACTGGTACTTTCGAGACAGTCATATAGTGAACCTGGTAAATTCTGTTAGCTGCGCAAAAATATGGTTCATAATTTCGCTTTTGAAGAAACAGACTCATTACACTCTGCTAAGCCTGCCGGGTTACTCTTACCGGTAATTTTTTATTCTGTGATAACTTGCCAATAGGTTAGGCATGCGAGGATATAGATTCCATAACAACATGGAACTAAGAAGTGGAAGATTCTAGGATAAAACAAAGGTATTGTAGAAAATTTTGCACATATTATCCCACTTAAAGATACAATGTTCAAAATCGAATTCTACCTTTAGGTGAACCTGTTCCTTAAGCGTTTTCTCCACCAGACTTGCTATTTGATTTGGCATATTGTCTTCCTCCTCTTTAGCCTTGGGCGCCTCCACATTATCCAAGACAAATTCTTCTGTAATAAAGAAGAAATACATATATGTGTTTGTAGGATATATACATTCATAATAATCTACATCTGCCACTCTCCACCTAGGTGTTAAATGGGTACCAATTAAGAAGGATGAAAACGTTAATGTGGTTGGATTGGCATGTGTGCGTTTGTAAAATAGCGCCTCGTCAAAATACTCTCCAGGGGAGTGGTGCGTGTGCACTATCATTCTACCACCTATAAGGCCTCCAAATGTGACAACTTTTATCATAATCATAATATATGAGAATATTTCATGTAACTGACATTTGATAAAAACAGAATTGATTACAGTTTAAATTGATCACTGGATGATAACAACTTTTCTGTTTAACACTTTAAAAGGAGTTTTAGCAAGTAAATACTCATTTGTAACCAACTTTTATTGATACTTTATGGTGGTTATTTACCTGACTGCTAAGAAAGCATAATTGCTTGAAAGTAAGCAACCAGACGGCCGACGGCTTTAGGTCCTGTCCAAGGGACCTGGTAATGAGGATTAATGCCTTATTACCAATGGGCACTATAGCGCATCCGGGTCACCGGATTACGAGACCACTGCTCTACCGACTGAGCTATCGCGCCTCCTCTTTATATCTTATGGATGACCAAAACTTGATCACCATTTAAAATTGAAACCCCCATTTGAGACTTTCACCACTTCTAGCGCCGCGAAGCAAAATGGCTTAAAGCCCGTCTGTACTAGTTTGGCCAGGGGGGATTAGACCTCCCTGCAACGTCACTGACAGGTGGTTATCTAATCAAATCAGCTCTCAATTAATTCAATTCAATTCAATTCATTTTATTCATTTCCATTTTCAATAAAAACAATACAAAGGTATATACAATGATAGGCATTTGCAATATATAAGAAAATGAAAATAGGGAACTAAAAAATAAGGCCAAATGGCCTTGTGGAGGCCATTAACATAAGAAAAAGAGGATCATGGGGGACCAACATGCAGGCACAGTACCGATTAGGAATTTGTTTGCTATATAGAGGGCGAAAGTAGCTTTAAAGCCTAAAGAAAACACTAGCACTCTGCAATAATCCCCCCCCCCCACAAGACTTTGACAGGGTGATAGAGAGGGAGAGAGAGTGGAAGGGAGAAAGTGTGCTAGTTTTGAGAGTTAAAATTGTTGTTATATCGCCAATTCTTTCATTTTGGTCTTCATCTAAATTATGAGTGACTTTTGGACATGAAAATCTTAAAAGAAATAAAATATATATTTCCTACTTCTCATTTCCTTTCAGGCAGAGCCCCAGTAAAAGTTTATTTACACTTTTATGTAGGATGAAGAGTATATATACAGCTGCAATCCTATACAATAATCTCTCACGCAGAGCTGGAAAATGCGGGAAACAAAACGGGGGTCGTGATACCCCGTCTGATTTACATAGGTTCCTGTGTTATAGTGGTGGGATATATTTTAAAGGCACACTGTCCTACTTGTAGCTACTTGCTCCCTCTATATAGAAAACTTCCCAAATCGGTGCCTGTTCGTCCCCCATGATCCTCTTTTTCTCATATTAAATGAGAGCTGAGTTAATGAGATAGCCACCTGTCACAGTGACCTCGATAGCTCTCTGGGTGGTCTTATCCCTTCTAGCTGCAGTAGTAAAGCCTCCCTTTAAACAAGAGATTTACTTAATATGGACGATGAATTAAGGATTGATCGAGGGCGAAGAAAACAAACAAACAACACAAACAAACTAAAAATATTTGTAAAAAACAAAAACAAATAAACTAACCTGCTTCTACAGGCTTCAGGCCTCTGACGATAGTAGTATCGATGTGTGGTTCTAAACTTTCTTGATCCTGTCAATAAACCAGTATTAAGATTGTCATGGAGCAGCTTGCACTAACAGCATCACAATTAGCAACTAGAACATACTTTTTTTAAAGTGGTTGATGAGATAATCCCACTCTCTATTCGTTGTCATTCTGGACTGGTCTAGAGTAATATATTGTGTCATATTGCATGACTATGTACTTGACATTCCAGATGCAAACAGCTATTAAATACATGTAATAGGGTTTACAAATACTTGAATGGCTTACTGAGTTAAATGTAAACTTCTGTTGCAGACAGTAATAAAATTGAAGTTCAAAACAACATGATGATAAGAATCTGCTTTCCAAAAAAGTTTACATATTTTGTAGCTGTTAGACTTGTGTAACAAAATTTAAAATCATAAATAAAATGCATATGAAAAGGAAACAGCGACCCGACATAGTGCAGTGTTTTCCAACCTTTCTCTAATCGCGGCACCCTTTGAAAAATAAAAAGTTTTGCGTGGCCCTATAATTACTATATACAGAAGATTAATTTTCCATCACTCTGGTTTCACCTCAAGTGCATGACATGTAAACACTTACATACACATTTCGTTTCTAAAATTTGGGAGCATGTGAAGTGAGTGAGCAAAAACAATGACATTTTAGAGCGGTAAAAGTAGATAAGATATGGTATCATGATATGCAGGAACCTTGTTGCCAATACCATGAATCCAAAAGTATATATTTGGTCACCTCGATGCATGAATAAAATTAGGATATTTGGGCATCTTGTTGTCCAGAATCATCCTGCTCCTAAATGTTCTGGGCGAGTGAAGCGAACAAGTGTGGTAAAAGGGCAATTTCAATATAAAATGTAAGATATATTTGAGCACCTCGCTGTCAAAAGAGACTAATTATGTAGCTATATATTCAGGCATGATCACTGCCTAAAATCCTACCGTTTCATGTTGCAAACGAGTGAAGTGACTGAGTGAGGAAAAAAGACTCTTAATTGTCTTTACGTTATTCTTCATGAAAATACATGGCGGTTTCTAACATTTTTTCCCACAAAATTGATGTTTATTTCATAATGGATCCACAACAAAAATGTTCGATTTCTTTTGCGGCACCCCAGTTGCAAAACGCTGCTGTACTGTAGTGCATTGTAGTCTGAGACAGCCCATATACCGGTAATTATTTATTTTACATACTAATTAGGTATATTGCTTTCAAATTCATTGAGCAAATTTCTGACATTATTCATTTGTTTCTTAATTCATTTGGCAAAATTTCACTTCTACATCATTATAATCACAACTTACTACTACATTTACTTTCGTAGAGCTTTTTATTTAAGTTTCAGATCCAAGCACTGTACTTTAATGTCTGGCGATAGGATCTATATTTCTGTTTGTATAGGGGTTGGTTATGACTTAAACACACAAAGAAAAAAACAAATTTAATTTGTTGTCTGTATATAGTTCATTCTTACAACCACACTTTATTAATGAAATTACCAAAAACCAACAATCAACCTGCGTTTTCCAAGACGTGTAATCTATAGGCACTATGAACATGACGGACAAAGAAAGCGGACAAAATATACAGTTCCTTATTCTACCCTCAACAATTGCTATATGGTAGACAAAGGAACATCCCTTCACTGCTATTACGTAAAAATGTTCATAGTGAGGTATATCCTAGTAATAGTTAAAACAATGAAATTAGTATCATGTGTCTTTTACCTTAAAGGGCCCATGACATCGAAATACAAGTGTATTCCTGTTGGTGTGCAGTCCTGCATACATCTCATATTTTGATATGTAAACTTCTGAAATTGTTTCATAGATTTTAAAATATTTTTTGAAATATTTGTTTTTCAAACTTGCTAAGCTCCACTCAAAATGAACCACCAGATCATTCCCCTTGTGACATCATCTGTCAGTCATCAATGAGCTAACTTGAGAAAGTGGCATGTATCATTTTTGCCAAAGTTGACCACCTGTTACAATACCACAAACAATAGCAACATATAAGTTGCTATGTCAGACATGTCAGACTAAACTAATATTCTAGCATAGACAATGGTATGTAATTTCCCCCAGCTTAGCACACGTTCATAATGGACTTGCATGCTTCCATATATATATGTACAACACATCATCATTGCCTTTGTCTTCCTGTGATGCTCCAGCATGTCTGACATAGCAACTTGTATGTTGCTTTTGTATTACGTATTGTAACAGGTGGTCGACTTCGGCAAATCAGAAAAAAAACACCTGTATGGAGATGATAATTACCCGTGTTGGGGTCATGGTCAGCCTCTTTGCTATTTCATCCATGTGAGCTTTAATATATTCATCCTCTGTGAAAGTGAATCATATATCATATGGTATCATATATTACATTGTTATATAATATTGTACGACTCCAGAATGATTTTAATGATATGATTTTAATGAACAATTTGATGTGCAATCTTGCCTTTGTAGCAAGTTAAATATTACCAGATAGCTAGAAATATGATGTGATGTGATGCAACTCCTTCATTTGTTCTAATACACATCTTGAAATTTACAGAGCTGTACAACACTTACTATATCTATATTATCACTGCAAGAACTATAACGCTATGTCAGACAGTAATAATAATAATAATAATAATGACAATAATAATATCAATGAACATAAAATAAACATAAACATAAATGAAGATAACAACAAGAATGAGACTGAACATGGCTGGCCTAGGTTTGATCGTGACTGGCTCGTCATGAGGCTGCAAAGGAGGTGAATGAAGTCCCGAGGCATGTTGAGACAACTATTATCAACTAAGAAGAGGATTTTTAAGCAAGTTAGAGAGGAAGAAGAAGAAGCAGGATAAGAGAAAAAAGGGGCTAGCTCATATCAAGAACAATTACAATGTGAAAAGGAAGGGACAAAAGGTGGTCATTGAGAAGTTGAAGCAGTGGATGACAGCAAAAGCTGCAAAAGTGAAAAGATACGAGCAGAGAATAATCCAATACAGACAAAACCGTATGCTTCAGTATGACCAAAAGAGGTTGTATCATGAGCTGGACGTAGTTACTGACAACAGCAACAAAACGCCAGATCCCCTGGAGATCTTGGACAATCCAACTGAACATAACCAAGAGGCAGAACAGCTAGCTGATTTTGAAGAAAGCTTAAAAGATGAGACGGTACAAGAGAATGTGGTCATTACTGTGGAAGGTGTTCAAAACCAACTGAGGAAGGTGGCCAACTGGTAAGGACCAGGGCTAGATGGAGTTTGAAGACCCCAATCTGCACAGACGAATTGCACAGCAGCTCAACAACATACTTGAAACAGGTAGTGCATGTGCCTGAGTGGATGAATCATGGAAGAAGAATACTGTTTGTGAAGAATCCCTCCTTGGGAAACGGTGTGGATAACGTCAGGCCCATAACCTACCTTCCACTTATATGGAAACTGTGAGTGGAATATTAGCTGAAAAGATATTTATGACCACCTTGACTCAGCACGGCTCCTACCTGAGGAACAAAAAGGTGGCAAAAATGTTCCCGAAGTACAAAGGATCAACTCATAATTGACCAAATGGTGTTACGGAACTGCAAAAGAAGAAGAAGAAAAAAATGGCAATGGCCTGGATATATAGACTACCGCAAGGTGTATATGGTGCCACATTCCTGGATTCTTGAAACACATATCGGTAGAAATAGCTCCCAACATTCAGTGCCTAATCCAGGAGAGTATGCCGAACTAAAAACGAAGCTGACATCTAACAGATGTACTGTAGGAGAGATTAGAATAAGGCGAGATTTTTTCCAGGGGGACAGCTTGTTACCACTACTATTTGTCATCTGCTTGATACCTTTGTCAATAGTCCAACGAAAATCCAATGGTCGATATCGCTTAACCCTTACTGTACTGGGCTATTTTGGGCACCTCATCGACTGGGGGGGGGGGGGGGTCTAATGTCCGATAAACACGAAAATGTGCATGTTTGTAGATATTTATGTAAGGAACAAGATGGTATAATTAGTTATTTCCTAATATGCACATTTTTGTCGTTATAGCCTAATTAATTTTGCAAAATGCTAATTTATGCATTTTACAGAAAATTATACATATTTGTCTGTAGACTTGTGAAGAATCTTGAAAATGTATTGAATAAATGTTTCCTTCATCTCAAATTCAGGAGGTTTCATTATTTTAATGATATTTGAAAATGCAAAGGTTAATTTGCAAAAATTATGAATACACAAATTACGCATTCATAAATATCAAGTCTGGAAATATACACGGAACTAGAATCATTACAAAAATGGTCAGACTCCACTTTTTGAATGTTGAAACTCATTATTCATATGAAACCTCTTTTCTAACACAAAATACTTATATTGATGTAATTAATAATGATTATTTATGCAAATTTGATGCGATTTTCAAATACCGGTTATTGTTTTATTTCTAATGTATTATTTTGTTCTGGAATACATCAAGTTACTTTGAGAAACATATAAAAGCAATTTGATATTAAGCAAATATTAATCGACTACGAGGGTAATGGTGCAAACTATCATCGCCGAGGTGATCTCAGGGCTACTATCATCCCGAGGCGATGATAGTTTGTATCCATTGCCCGAGTAAAGGAGGTTAATATTTGTTTTATATCCCACATCGGCAATGTCTTACAGTGAATTTTACATAATTAAAAGATTCAACTGCGTTTTCGTTCGCGGTGTTCTGATTCTGCAGACAGTTTAGCTTCAGCAGATATCGGTGGTGTAAGAAGTTGAAACCTCGGGTGCTCCCGCGCATCACTCGTGATGATCGTTGAAGCCTAAAAAGGCTAAACAAAACGGGATCCAAAGGCAAAGTCAACAAAATTACTTACAATGATGTAAATCCATCATTCTCAGTAGTCTATAATCCAATATTATCCAAATGACAAATGTTTAGAAGCAAACAAAAGTCTAGATCTAGGCCCAGCTACAGCGAGGCATAAGAAACTAAGTAAGACGCAAGTCGCGCCGCCACAAAATTGTAAGTGGTTTTAATTTGTTTTGCTTTTGTCGCGCACTAATGATATGCATCGATTGCGCTTAATTTCAGCGCATTTGTTTCAGGTTTACACAATTTTAGGTTCAAAGCACAACATGCATACATCTACTAATAAAGTTGATGCGCGCGTATTTGACTTTTCAAACGCTTTAAATTTAGCGTCGTAGACTTGTACTAGTTTAACACTGGCATTTCGCGTAACCTACTTTGCTATAGGCTTGTATGGACAAAGTAAGACGCAAGTCGCGCCGCCACAAAAATGTAAGTGGTTTTAATTTGTTTTGCTTTTGTCGCGCACTAATGATATGCATCGATTGCGCTTAATTTCAGCGCATTTGTTTCAGGTTTACACAATTTTAGGTTCAAAGCACAACATGCATACATGTACTAATAAAGTTGATGCGCGCGTATTTGACTTTTCAAACGCTTTAAATTAAGCGTTGTAGACTTGTACTAGTTTAACACTGGCATTTCGCGTAACCTACTTTGCTATAGGCTTGTATGGGCAAATGGGGTAGCAGCAAAAAATTACTTAACAAAAGTACTATCTCGAGATCTCAGGTAGATAGTACTTGTCTATACCTTTTTCGTGCTCTGTACAATCGCAATGCAACAAACTATACATGAGGGATATAACAATTCATATCTCCCACTTAGGAAAAAATACATCTAAACCTGTATTCACATTTCTGCTTGTACATGAATATATGCAATTCACTATAGCACTTTTTGATAACATGCTCATACTAATTGTTATGTAACACCTAACAGGTACCGGTATATTCGATTTCGAAGAAAATGGTATCAAAATGTGCGTAAGACTTGAGGGGAAAAAGTCATGAAACGACAATTCAAAATTCCAAGCGGTTGCGGCGCAATCCCTGAAAATGTTGAGGGGGGGGGGGGGCCTCCCAGGCCTCCCCCCACCCCCCAGTACAGTAAGGGTTAAGGGGTATCTCACTGAGCAGTAAATGCTTGCGAACGTAGCGAATTTGGGGTTTCGCCAGAGTTCATAAAAGGTTGCAAGAACATTTTTTCTTGTCGCAAAGAATTGTTCAAAATTTCTTTGAGAATTTATTTTTCCGCAAACAGTTGCAAGCGTTCACAAAACAGTCGTAAACTTTTGCAAAATAGTTGTAACCCTTTGTAAATGGTTGTAAGACGGTGTCGCTGAAGTTCTTTTTTGATTCGCCAATGATAGCAACCATGTTACCATATGGTTCCTACATAAAATCGACCCATTGAATACCAGCAAAAGGTCTCATAATAGTTGCCAACTGCCTTTCGCAAATATTTGCTTAAATGTTGCTAATCGTCGCCAAACATCGCTAAAAGTCGCTAAATATCGCAGAGGTAAACCCTGATTTTCCCCAACTGTCGTCAAAAAAGTTGGTGAATCCAAATCTGCAACGTTCTAGGCATTCGCTGCTCAGTGAGATACACCTTCAAGCAATTAGTCCGAGACTCTCAATCACTTGATGTTCATGGATGACCTTAAAGGGGTTGTCCACTCCAAAAATAACTTACTCTCAATAAAAGCAGAAAAATCAGACAAACCAATCAAACAAAATTTGAGCAAAATCCGATAACTAATAAGATAGTTTTTAATTTTTGATGACATGAAAACTTTGAACTTTGAAAATCACAAGAAAAAATGGCAACTCACTCATGAGTCTGTGACATCATTGCCTCACTATCCACTGATTGTTTTCTTTATATTGATAATATTTATTTCCTATTTTCCCCCTAAGAATCTTATTCTTCACACCAGCATCCAAGTTATATTGATATTAATATGTTTTTGTGTGGATGCACTAATATAGAGTTTTTTTTTCCAGTTAAATCATAACAAATGTGAATTTTGATAAACTATTGATATAAAAATCAATAATTATGAATATACAATATTCAGAAAATAGTATCAATTCTTCAAAGTTCATAAAGAATTTTGTGAAATGTTGTGCACCCAATATGATACAAATCATTTAACCTAGACAAGGGCATGGGGAAATCAAGTTTTGGGGGATAAAAAGGGAAATTAGTAATATAATATAACATATAAAGCAATTGAGGACCTGACGTCACAAACTGATAACCAAATTGGCAATTTGTATAGTGATTTCCATGGTTTTACATACTTTTTCAAAAATCCATAACTTTCTTATTAGTTGTCTGATTTTGCTCAAACCTTTTTTCATTGGTTCGTCTGAATTTTATTCTTCTACTGTAAGTAAGTTATTTTTGGAGTGGACTTGCACAGCACTCGCTACGATAAATCATATAAAAAAAAACACAACAAC